TATATATATATATATATATATATATATAATGGCGCGGTGTCATTTCATTCTGTCTCTTCCGTGATCACGAGAGAGAATAGGAACCGTGTCCTGAAACGCCGCATTGGCACTCAAAGACCAGCCACGTCATGCATTGGCGAATATTCAGAACGAAAAAATAGCCAGCGGATTGCAACATTGAGAAACATGTTTCACATTGGAATTTCAATACGAATGCCTTGGATGGTATAAGCACACCACTCTCATCCCTTAGCAAAAATAAATAAACACGTACGAACAACGCCCAATTCTCCCATCCAAAAGCAGTAACACTGGAAGCGATGGATGCCAGTTTCAACCCTTTGACCAATGGAGACGAGCAACTTCACCCCACACGGGCGTATCTGTGCTGCAAACTACCTGAAACTTCATTATCAAAATATTGAGGCGGGCATGAAGAACAGAGAAGAGAGGGGGGAAAAGCACTCTAATGCATTGGCAACATTACGAGAGATAAAACATGGTAAAGGGTGGGTTTTATAATCCAAGCAGAATAAGCAGACTTAAAAAAAAATGAAAATTCATTTATGATCGGGAAGCAAAAAAAGAAACAAAGAAAAAAAACAAGGCATAAACATCTATCATCTTCGCCGACGGTACCGTTCAGTGGAGCCACTACGACTTCTCCGCCTTCGCCGCCGACTGTCGTGACGACGCTTTCGGCTCTCTTCGCGGTGATGTCTCTCTCGGCTTCTATGACGCCTGTCACGGTTTCTTTTACGAGATGGTGGACTTCGGCTCCTACCACGTTGCGACACATGCCGCATCATGCAATCAGATCGTGTACATCGTCCCCTCAAATAATCACGGCATATTTGACGTTCTTTAGGGGCCAATGCCAACTTCCTTTCTTGCTCTCTTTTCTCGGCGCACTGATCCACGCTATGTCCGCGCAGATAACAAAAGGAACAAACCAGCTCGCTATTAGCGGTTTTCATTGAATTTACAGCGCCATTTATTTTATTTACTCCCAGCCCTCTAAGCCCTTTAGGTGGCTTTCCTGGGGGCGGTTTGGGAAGAGGACCACTCCTTTTCTTTACACTTACAGTTACACGCATCCCATTAGAAAGGGTATATTCTTCAGTTGGAATAATGAAAAAGCGAACTTCACCGTCACCCTCAGGAATAGGAGTCGCAGAAGCCGTTTCCTCCTTTGGCTGGGCCCCAATAAGCTTTAACAACTCTTCCGGGGAAGCTTCCTCATTAAACTCCTCAATTGCCTCATTGATTTCGTCTCCCCTACCGAAGGAACTTTCATCTTGAACTTGTTTTAAAAGAAATTCTTCAGCTGGTTTTGGTACAGGATCTGGGACAGATACCACAGCAGGCTGTGTAGTCTGTTGTAATTCCCCGTTGCCTTGCCTCCTCAGCCTCCATCTCCCGTCTTATTTTCTCAAACGCTTCTTTTGCTAACTGTTCTTCCGCTTCTCGTGTAGCCTGACGAAGAAGCTGTCTGGCATCCCTTTGCGTTTGAATTCGGTGGTTCCATCTGAGAAACATTGGATGTTCTGCCGACAGAAACCCGTACCTTGGGGTCGTACGCAAAAGTTCATTAATATCCGTAGACGGTTTACCGTTTTCAGTTTCCATTTTTTCTTCTTCATCCAAAAGTTTTGCCATCAACTCGGACATGGCACTCGTTGTCTGGAGCTTGATTATTAATGTCAGATGTTGGGCTGCAACATCTTCAAAGTCAGCACGACAGCCAACAAACTGATTATTCACGTAAATAATCATGTAATGCGGCAATATGTTGGCTTTTGCTGCTGGAGAGTCGGCTTCCGTTGACAAAACCTCTGCGTCATCGCTAAGTTTCAGCCCCAGCACTGACAATGGTTCACTTGCGTACTGTCTTTCAAGTCGGCGCACAATAATCCCGTCACCGTCAGGTGGTGCGGCATTATCGATTGATGCGGTGGCTGCTCCACCGTATTTGAGCTTTTCAAGAAACGATTTTGCTGAATCACTTCCTTGCATCACTATGCATAAAGTATGCAAAAAAAAACACTATAAAAACGGGGGGGGGGAGAAAAAATATATACATATATATATATTTTTGTACGGAAACTCATGTAAAGGGGCGTAAATTATAAGAATAATAATAAACAGCTTTGCAAAACGCACTTGGAACAAGGGGCTCTCCCTGTTGAGGACTGATGTGAAAAGTAAAACAAGAAAACGGCGCCAGTGCCCCCACTGCCGCAAGAAAAAAGCCACGAGGCTCTTGTGAAGGCTGGGTTCTTTCACGACCACTCTGATCGCTTAGAGTGCCCGTGCGCTCCAAAAAAGCACCCGCGCGCGCATGTTCGAAAACTTCACCGAGACCGCTTCCTGACGGGGCATTCCCACCGCGCCGCGCCCACAAAACGTTCCCACTTTCGGTGCGACGCAGGGCCCGCAGCGCCTCAAACGCCCCTGCTGTTTGCGGGTCGAACATGTCGGGTGGGCTGTTCGTCGCGCGACGGCGGCGCACCGTACGGAAGCGGCCCCTCTGCTCCCGGGCCGTGTGCAGCCGGCAGTCGCCGCTTCAGCGAGCCGGGCGCCCAACCGAATCCCGGCCCCGGCGAAAAGGACGGGGCCCGGTGGAGGGGGGGGGGCGGAATGGCCCCGAGAGCGCGCGGGGGAGGCGGCGTGCGTCGTGGCGGTTCCCCGGCATATGCGGGGCGCTGGCCCAGCGGCCTTGTTGGTCCCGCTAGGGGTAAAAAGAAAAAGAAATTCGCCCCTTGCAGGCGAAGGAAGTTAGAAAAAAAGCTGCGGAGGAGCACCTCCCCCCGCACGCGCCGGTGAGAAGTCTTGTGATTCCCGCGGCGCCCTCCGGAAGCATCCGTCCACGGCGCGCGGCGCAAGTCACGCCCGGGGACTGTTTGGCCGCGTCCAACGGCAGCGCCCCCACAAAAAACGACCACGCGATGACCGTGAAGCGGGCGCGGCGGGACTAATGTCAAAGATTCCTCCGCGCGAAGTGTGCACGCAGCGCCCGCGCCGCCCCCCCAACCCCTCGCCACCGGGCGCCCGCGTTGGCAGAGCTCGCGGCATTGGCAGGGCAGGAGGCACGCTAAACCACGCCGTGGTTAAGAAACAGCTTGTGTGTGAGGAGACGCCGGAACGCTGCTTCCCCGCGCGGCCCGACAATCCAAATTCGGCCTGGAGGAATTGGGGGCACCCGGGCTCTTTTTTAGTAAACAACCGGCCCGGCTCCTCTGTGGTCTGTTCAATCTCCCAGGCCCTGAACCGTTTCCGACCTCGACGGCAATGCGTGTGTGGACGGCGTCGCTCGTCAGTTGGGTGGAGGGAGCGCCCTGTACTTTATTGCTTCACTTCCTTTTCCTGGTTTTGATTTCTTTACTTCGCCTTCTGCTGTTCTCGCGCGGCGGAGGAGCTGCTATCGCGGCGACCTCCTTATAAAAGCAATGGCGCCCGCGCGCTTGCGGCGAAAAAAATGTTGCATTGGAAGAAGGGGAAAAAACGAACGCTATCCTTGTTAGTGGGCTGGTGGGGAAAGTAAAACGAGAAAACGGCGCCGGCGCTTGGGTCGAAGAGCGGCGCTCCGCCCCGGCGGTGGCGCGCGAGCCGGGCGCGGTTGCGGTGCCGGGGCCGCCGGAAGGAAGAAAAACAACCCGTGACGAGCGGTTGTCGCTTGCGGCGTGGGGAGAAGAAGAAAAGAAAGGAGGAAACGAAAAAAGTATTCTGCGGAACGGCGGGGCAGCACGGCAGGGAGAAACGACACCGAGAAATGAATAAAATAAAATTAAAAAAAAAAAGAAGAGGGAGAGAGGCGAGACCAAGCGCATGATCTCAGCCTTCGTCCTCCTCGGCCCCGCCTTTCCCCATCAGATACCGCAGCGCCTCCGCGACCCGAACGCGGCGCCCCGGCTGCGTTCCCGCGCCCTCCCCCGCCCGCCCCGGGCACTGCGGTGGGCAACGTCGCCGGAGCTCACGCCTTGCCTCCCGGCGCACCGCCTCCCTCGCTTCCTCGCGCGCCTGCCGGTCCATTCCCGCCTGCATCTCGCGCACCGCCGCCCGCGCCCCCGCAACCGCCTGAAGAGCGCAGCGCAGCTTCGCCTCCGTCACGGCGCCCTCGCGAAGCAGGAGGAACTCCTCCCCTCCCTCCTCCACCACCTCGCCCCCCGCACACTCGACCAGCACCTCCAGACCCCCGCGCTGCTGCAGAACTGCCGCGCACACTGCCGGGTTGCTGAGCCGCAACCTTCGGTACTTCGCCTCCGCGGGGCAACGAAGCACGTTCGCCAGGATGGTCTCCAGTTTTTCCAAATTCACTTGCGAGGAGTAAAGCCCATCGCCGCCGTCGTCGGAACAAAACTCGCGCTCAATGTACGAGCGCAGCTCGCCCACCGCCTTCGCCTTTTCGCAGCGTTCACGGCGCAACTCCAGTCCCAAACTACGGCGCAACCGCATGCAATCTCTGTTGCGTGCCAGGGCCTCTCGATCGCGGCTGCGCAAGAAAGCCACTGCCCCCAGTCCTTCTTCCAGCAACGGAAGCCCGGGCGGCCCTGGAAGCTGCAAAGAGTCGCCCTCCTCAGCAACATCAGACGAGCGCCTCGCAAACCCAACCGACTGCAGGAATCCCATGACACCAGGGACGGAAAACAACTGCGAGTGTAAAACCGCATTACTGAGGCGCAGCCGCCTGTATTTTTCCTCATCAGGAAACTGAATGAGGTTACGCAGAATCGTTTCCAGAACTGCGTAGGCCTTTTCCCGCTGCGCTTGACCCGCAAACTCGCCACCGAACTCGGAAATATTGACGTGTGGGAAACGAGTATGCGCCTCCGCTTCCCACCCGTGTTCCCCCACTTCGTCTACTTGAGGAGCCGCCGCTGCAGGCGGTGCGTAACTTTTGATTGTGACATCCTTGGCCGCCCTAAACTCTTCCTCCGAAAGGAGACCGCTGGCAAAGAGCTCGGACAACCGCCGAATCTCCTCAGAGAGGGAGGCCATGCGCCCCGATAGGTAATCGCGTGCAAATTAGTCGCGTTCCCTGTGTGTCGCTCTCTGCGTGTGCGTGTGTAGAGGTGGGTGGATAAGTAGCAAAGAAACCTTGTTTCCCTTCTCTAGTGGAGAGGCAAGCTGGGAACCTCGCAAAGAAGAAACGTAAAAGGCGGAAATCAGAAATCGCAGAGAAAAGAAAAGAGAGAAGAACAAATGGACATACACACACATAGAAGAAGAATAAACAACAACAACAACAACTCAACAGTCGGGAGAGGCGAGTAAGCAGCAGCAGCAGCAGCAAAGTCAGAGAGCAAGCGTTCAAAAAAGGACAGGAGAATGGGACAACGCAGTGCGGAAGGAAAATACGCATTATCGCATCTATCCCACTCTCTCTCTCTCTCTCTCTCTCTCCTTCGCCCTCTCGCTTACGCCTTCTATGGTTGCTTAATGCTTCACCAAATGCAATGAACCTTTATCGGCCGTGCCCGCTTACATGGCCGCCGTTTGCTCTTCCCTCCTCCACGGCTGTCCGCAGCGCCTCGCTCACCAGCCAAGGGAAAAAAAGAGTGCTCGCACCTTCACTCGTCCCTGGCAAGGGTGGAGCCGTGGCACACTGTTGACGGCTGCGTCGTCGATTGGTCTCCGCCTCCAACAGAGACATCGCAGCCTGAAAAACACCATGCAATGCAAGGAACGAAAGACCTCGTAGCAGTTGCACAGCGGCGTCTATTTCTGCCACCCTGCCGCCTAGTGTCACAGGGGAGGGGGCGGCGGTGTAGTTATTGACGTTGGTGCAGTCTCCGACCGTGGCAACGCGATCGTCCGCCTCCTTTGCTTCTCCTGTGGGAGACTCCGTGGCAACGGGCTCCGTCTTCACAGCGACCTCATTACCGTTGTTACTCGCTTCCCCGCCCGCCACCGCTTTTCCTTCCTCCTCCTCCTCCTCCTCCTCCACTACCTCCGCTTCCTCCTCCGCCTTCCTCGCGGCCTCTTCTTCGCGGGATTTGGAAGCTGCCCGGGACACGGGACGCCGCCGCCTCCGCCGCCGCCGAGAACCATAGTAGCGATGCGGCGGACGCCTGCGTCTCACCGTAAGCCTCTGCGCAGTTTGGGCTTCCGTCGGTGGCTCACGCTTCGCCTGTAGACTGGCTTGTGAAGAACAAGACGAAAGCGACAAGTCAGGCTCCGCCAGATCCTTGTGCTTCTCGCAGAACTGCACAACGTTGCGGTTGATCTTGTACAGGTTTAGCACGGTTGTCTCCTTCAGCTCAAGGGCACGGCTCCGGTACCGCTGGTCCGCGGAAGAGCGGGTCCTAAAGAAGGTGCGGACGTTCCGCACGAGCATGTCGATGTCGTCGTGGTACTGCGAGAGGCTGGTGTACTCTTCGTTCTCAAGCTTCTCCATCACATCACACAGGCCGATGCGGCGCCCGTGTGTGTGGTGCCGCCACTCCTCGTAGAGGTCATGGCCCGGCGTGAGGTCGAGGTCGGCGCTACAAAAAAGCGAAAACTTGCGAGAATTGAGGTATTGACTCAGCCACTTCGCCAACACATACCGTAGCTGCCGCCGACGGTGTTCCACACGCCGCCACAGCTCAAGTGTGACATGGCGAGCCGCGCGCACTTCTTCAATGGAGGGCGGGGGCGGAGGCGAAACGTCATCGAGCAACTCCTCCCACGCGGTGGGCACAGAGTGTAGCAACGCCAACTCCACCACATGAAACAGGTACTGCAGAAAGCGACGCAAATCATCTTCAGAGGGTGCGCATGGGATGCTGCACGCGTTCTTGCGTATTTGTGTGCTTGGGTGCAGCTCAGCAAAAAAGCGAGCGTAGACGTCCATGTGGAGCGTGGGAGCGACGACGAGCACATCCGAGTCACGAAGCAGGGCAAGATAGTAGCAAAACGACTCCATATTTTTCCTCCGGTGAGTTCCATCCTCATCGCTTTCATCGTCGCCTTTGCACCCACCAGCAGTGGTGGGGCAGCCATACTCTGCGAGCCACACGTCTAACCCTTGCAGGAGGACCAGCGAGGGACCGGAGCAGCGCAAAATGGCCAGTACAAGTGAATAAATGTGTCCGGAGCTGAAGCAGTCGTTCAGTGGCGGACCGGACTCCTCAGCGTTGGACGCGCCCCCCTCTGCCGTGGAGAAACCCGCAGCCGCAGCCGTCATCATCATCGCCGCACTTCCGCGGTCCACCACAAGGTTGGGAAGATGCACGGTAAAGACACGCATTGATGGAAGTGCCTTGATGAGAGCCAGTGCCGCCTTCTCCAGGGCAAATTCACACGACTCTGCACCGCATAAACCCTTCTCGGGGGAGGGAGTTAAAAACAGCAGTATTGGCTGTGCCGTATGGGGAATAGGGAAACCACTCAGCTCTCGTACCGCATCGCTCGCGTCACTGCAATCCCTTCGCTCGCGTGCAAGTGCCGTTGCTGCACTCGGCCAAAGCGATGCCACGTGCAACACCAATTCCGTTCGAGTACTGTGAAGCAAATGTTCAAGATGTTCTTCAAGGCCTTTTGAAAAACTATCAGCCCCGCGACGCACAGAGGTTTTGAAGCGATGAATGGCAATTAAAAAATCCTCCTTTTGTATGCTGAGGGCGTTGTTGGGAATCTGTAGCTTACGGCTGGTGACGTACAGCTGGGGCAGGCTTGTTCGCAGCCGATTCAGTCCGGCTTCTGTGCAGAGGGCCTGAATCTCCGCCCCTGACCACCCCTCGCAGCGTGCGACAAGCTCCTCCAGAATCACACTCCGCTCAGGATGCTCCAGGGGCACTATCGGCTTCGTCACGATGGAGAGGATGTGCCGACGCGCGGCGGCGTCGGGAAGTGGGAAGTGCAACTCGCGATCGAGTCGCCCCGGTCGGCGCAGGGCCGGGTCAATTGTATCGGGCCTATTTGTGGCGCCGATAACAACAACCTGACCTCTGTCGTCCAATCCGTCAATGAGGGCAAGAAGGGTGGCGACGAGCGCCGCCTGCGACTGCTCCGCCTTGGCATGGCGCACCGGCACGAGTCCATCGATCTCGTCAAAAAAAATAATACTCGGCTGACGGCGTCTTGCCTCCTCGAACAAAAGACTCAGCTGTCGCTCACTCTCACCAACCCACTTGGAAAGAATATCCGCGCCTTTCCGCATAAAGAAGGAGATCTTGCGCTGCGCACAGCTTGCAGCCTCATTTGCCAAGGCTCGAGCCATGAGAGTTTTGCCTGTTCCTGGAGGACCAATGAAGAGCACCCCACGCGGCGGGGTTAAGTTCATTGTCTGCAGCAAATCTGGATACAAGAGAGGAAACAGCACCATTTCACGCAGCAAGACAATATGACCAGAGAGTCCTCCTACTTTTTCAAATGAGACTGACCTGTCAATGTGCAGCGGGGTGATGTCTCCAAGCGGGGCAGGGGTCTCGGTCGTTGACGGACCCTCGCCCGTTTTCCCTGCATCCATTGTGTCAGTCTGCGCCGCATCGAGGCCGAGAAACACGTCCTCCATGCGACGGCGATGACTTTTGCCTCTGCGCTTTTTCTCCTTCCTGGCGTTGTTGTCAGTGGCCTCTATCACTTCGTCAAGGTAGCGGTTTATTGGAATATGCCGTATTGTACTCTCCCTGGCGTTCCTGCTCACACGGCGGTTCTCCCTCTCACTCATCCGCCCTGTGAGCGAGGAAAGCGAGGATGAGTGCTCCACAAGCAGCGCCTGCTCCACCTCGTTTCCCCGCTCCTGGGTCTCCTCCCGCAGGGAGACCTCTGTGATGGAGGAGTCAATCGATGGCTCGCGACCGCGCTTTCGTAGCAGCTGCCTCAACCGGCTGTCATTGCCTTTCTTCCCGCGTGGCTGCAAGGACGCCGCGCAGCCCTCACTACAGTTTTTTGCGCTGCTACCATCGTCCTCGCCATTATCATCGTCGCCCTCGTCGTCGTCGTCGTTGTAGCCGCCCTCCTGGGCCCCAGAAACTCGCGCGGAATTCATGCCCAGTGAATGCAGCGTTGAACTCATCCTAATAACAGCCCGCCTTGCCGCATCGCGCTGCGGGTACCGGGAGTTGATGTGTATTTCCTCCTCTCCCTCCTCATGACGTCTCCCAGGTGGCAGTAGCACCTTCCTGACGTACATCGTATCGTACGACGCGGGAGGCTCCCGAGGAATGCGGCAACCGCGCCCCAAACGCTCCTGCGGAGGATCCTGCTCGGCGTCGCCCCGCAGTGCCCCTGCCGCATTGTTGTCGTCGGCACGGTGCGGGCGAGGAGGAGAGCCACCCTCCCTTCTTGACTGGGAGCGCGTGACAACCATCCTGGCCGCCTCCCCCTCCCCTTCTCAGGACGCACACACGCACGCAGGTCGACGGCTCGAGGTGGGAGGACTCCCTTCTCCTTTACGCTACTTGTTCGCGACGGTAACGACGGGGCGGGCGGCGCAAACGATGAAGGCAAACAAAAAGAAAAAGTAAAAGAGAAAAAAAGGAGGTGGCGGCGGTAGATATGGAGCAGTGAGCTAGAACCATGCGGTGAAGCAACAAAGTAAGCACACCACCTGATGAACGGCCATCAGTGTTATCGCGAGAGCACAACCGAGACACATCCGTGGCAATTCCCACCTTTGCCTTTGGCTCTTGTTTAATGACTACTTATTCGACTAGTGGCCCTCATTAGGGCATTTCCTCTTATTTCGCCCCTTTGTATACACACACGCAGAGAGAGAGAGAGGGCGGGGGAAAAAAAATAGTGCCGTCAAATGTTGCATCTCTCCTCTGTATCAACGCCTCATGAATAACTTGTTGTTGTTATGTGTATGTTTTTTTTTCTTCTTCCTCTTTTCTTTATCCCTTCTCACTCTGTTCCTTCCCTTTTTAAGCTCCTTTTCGCGTCCGTGGCAATGGCGGGGTTGTGTGCACGTGTGCGTCTCCACCACCATCGTCACCATAGCTGCCTCCCTCTGGCCAATTACTTATTTGCTGCCCCTCAGTTTCCCCTCATCAGAACTTCTTTACGGACGAGGCGGAGGTGGCCCCCGCGGCGCGCTCCATCTCCCGCCGCTTCTGCGCACGTTTGCGCGCGGCCTCACGCCGCTGCTCCCGCTTGGCCTCTACCTCCTGCTGGACCGCCACCAGGTCATCGCGCGCCTTGTGTTTCACCTCGCTATCTTCGATCCAGTCGATGTTGTGCTTCAAGGCCAAAGCGGCGTCGCGACGCTCCTGCAGACGCGCTCGCTCCATGCGTCGGTTCCACACCGCCTCCTGGCGCTTCTGTTTGATCTTCTCCACACGTTTCATCACCTTGAGGGTGTCGTGGAGCAGCTCGCGGTTGTACTTGACAGGGACGTGTCGCCGCTGCTCAAAGTCCATTGTGCTATCCACTGCGAGCTCCTTGCCGTTTGCCTTGCGGAATGTCTTGGTCCACTTCAGCTTCATCGGGTTGCGCTTCATGCCGAAGTTCTTGCGACACTTCGAGGCACAGAAGCGAAACACCTTGCAGTCGTTGCGCACAAACATCTGGCCGTGCCCCGGGTATATCGGGGCCCCGCAGAAGGAGCAGTGTTCAATCCGCATCGCCACGCTATTCCTGCTTTACCACGCACAGCTGTGTGCCATTGCAAAAACAAGCGTCAAAACAAAACAAAAGGAAAAAGGACAAAAAGGATGGCGAGAGAAAGAGAGTGAGGGAGGGGCAGAACAAAAATACGACGACACTCCGTGGCAAAGGAAGGAGGTCTCTCCTTCACTCGCGCCCTCAGGCTAATGAGACGCGGCCAACTGGTGGAAGAGACCATTTCCCCTGTTTTCTCCCTCGCGGTGCGAGGGTGTTCAACACGCCCACTGCACCTCCTTGTTTCTCTCCTTTTTTCTTTTCTTTTCGTGCTCGACAGCGCGTCATTGCCTCCTCCTCAACGTATTTTACATCTTTATTCTGACATCTCGCCTCATACTTTTGCTATCCTCGGGCTCTCTTTATTGTCCCCTCCGTTGCCACTCTTCAGTTCCGCCCCTGGCGAAGGTACCGAGCGCGTCTCTCGCTCTCTCTCTGTGGGTGGGTGTGTGCATGGTTTCATTTCGGCTTTAATTCACACACACACACACACGCATCTTTTTTTTTCTTTTTTAGGTTCTTCTTTGGCATGCAATACGCCGCCGAAGCCCGGTGCGGAAAAGCAGTCGCAGGGACAAGGCTGTGGCCTGGATGCGTGCGCAGAGACTCCGCTCCCCACTCTGCTTGCCGCAGCAGGCAACACCCACAGACACACACACACACACACTCAGACGCACGCTATTGATTCGATGAGGTCAGAATCGCATTCAGCAGTAGTCGTCGTCGCATCTCTCCAATGACTTCACCCTCATCCGTGCCAGTGCCCTCCTCGTGCAAGACACTCTTCTGCAAGTCGCAGTTGATGTCAATCAGGGAGGGGCTCCGGTACACCGTCTCCCGCAACAGCTTCAAGAGCAACAGTTGCTGGTTGCGTTGGGCCATTGTATCCAGCGCAGCGTCCTGGCCTACGGGGCGCACGATTGCAACCTTTTCCACAACTGCCGGATACGAGGAAGAGATGTAGAAGGCCTCAATACCAGGCTTTGTCGCCAGCGTCTGCACCATTTTATCAATGTCCTCTTGCTTAAGTTCTGGGTTTCCACTGAGGTCAATTCGCCGCAGGTGATTGTTGGACTTGTTCCCATTACAAAGTTCTGCAAGCAACGGTCCATGTCTTGCCTCGAACTCGTTGTAACTGAGATTGACGTTTTCAAGCGAAGGGTGGTTGACAAGCACTTGCAACAACTCCTCCACGCCCTTTACCTGCGCCTGTTGGTCTCTACAGTATTGCTCCTTCAGCGAGCCCAACTTATTATGCGAGAGATCCAGGTCCTTGAGGCACTGATTAGCCGCGATGCCCGCAAGTAAGGCAGGGGCAGCTGTGACGCTGTTGTGCGCCAAAACAAGTCTCCGCAGCACCGGGGAACTAATCAAAAGGTGATTCACAGCCTCAAGGCCGTCCCGGATGTTGTTGCGGCTGAGATCCACCTCACGAAGGGAGGTCGGCATTGCCGCAGGGGCTGGGAACAACACACGTAAGCCTGCGGCCTGGATATTATTGCCGCCGAGCAGCAGCACCGCTAACGACGGGCGACACCCGCTGAGAGCTGTTCCGTAGAGCGCCAGTGCTATGGAGTGCATGACCGTCGTGTCATGCGGTGCGGCCACATCGCCACAGGCGTCGTTACTTTCGAGGTCTAGCTCTTCCAGTGCCGAGGCCGTGCCGATCGTGCACAGCATGGCGGCGCACAAAGTAGGCCCAAGGTAGTTACCAGCGATTGACAAGCGGCGTAGTTTCGTGTTTCCGTTCAAAGCCACACTCATTGCTTCCATGGCGGCCAGTGCCATTCGCTGCTGCGCCTTACTTCCCTTTTTGCCAGCGAGATTGTTCCGCCGTAGGATGAGCGTGTGCAGAACGCTGTGCGGTGACAGCAATAAAAGCTTTGCTATGTAGTGTAGCCCACGGAACCCAATGCCGTTATCCGTGAGATCCAGCACCTCAACCGAATGGTTTTCGGCAAGCGCGGTGGCAACCATGCGGGCGCCCTCAGCACCCAACGCGTTCCCCTTCAGGTCGAGTGCCCGTAGCCGGTGGTACTCGCGCAGCGGACCGACAAGTTGCCAAAGCGGGAGATCCTGCCAGCTTTCCACCTCTGGAGTGGCGGCATCTTTCTCTGGATCCATCTCTGCAGGGTCTGTCACCGGTGGCTCCTCCCCCTCCCCACCGCTGTGAATCTGGTTGTGGCACAGGCGCAGGTGACGCAGAAATTTGTTCTTCTTGAGCACCTCACTGATTGCCTCCAGCCCGCTGTACTGCTCCCCAAAGACGGGGTCCTCTCCCTGGTACTCTGGGTCCTCGTCCACCTCCGGCGGCGGCATACCAAGCTGGTTGTCGGAGAGGTCAAGGGAGGCGACGGCGATATTCTTCGTGAGGGCCTTCCCAACAATGCCAAAGCCGTGTGGCCCCAACTCGTTGCTACTCAGGTCCAACACTTTGATTGTCTCATTGGCGTCAATAAGCTTCGCCAGGAGACGCAGTGGGACGAGTGAGACTCGCTCCTCCTCGTTGGGCGTCCCTAGCCCATTGTGACCCAGCAACAAGACACGAACCTTATTGTCCCTCATGAGCATCTCACAGATGTTACGAAAGGCGTCCAGTTCGTACGCTGCCCGGAGCCGAATGGCGTGCTTGTAGTCGGTGTACTCAAGCTGCTGATTTTGGCACCACTGTCGTAGTTCTTCATTGGTGGAAAGATCCACGTAGCCCTCCTCCTCCTCCTCCTCTTCTTCTTCGTCGACGCTGTCAGTGGACTTTTTGGGCTTTGGCGTGGGCAGTGGAAAGCGCTGTTTCAGTTCCTCCATCTTCGCCATCACCGTCGCGGGCGAGGTCTCCGCGTGCTCGTTTGGCATAATGGCGCCGTTGCCAAAGTTGAGGCAAGTGATGTTGGCGCCGTGCAGGGACATAAGCTGCGATAGCCGCTTGACATCGTCAAAGCTCATTACTGGATGGGGCTGCACACTATGTATGAAGGGCACAACCGCGCGCAGCTCCTGCATCTCCGCCTCGTCCGGGATGGCCAGTGAAACTTGCTGGCGGTACTGTGAGACCGCCTTGTCGCCGCCACTGATTGCCTCCAGTAACTCCTGCGCCGCGTTTTCAGCGAGAGAGCGTGCCTCCCACTTCCTTGGTGCGTTGGCGAGCGCAATGCTGTTTGGGTTGATCGGCGGGTTTCCCTTCACATGCGGACGTATCGTCGCACCACGCAGGGCACGCGCCAAGCGCGCGGCCTCAATGGCGGCGTACAGGCCCTCATCGCCCGTTATCTTCGACTCGTACGACGTGGAGACGAAAATCATGTTTTACATACACCTTTTCTCCCGCCCCTCTTTCTTTATTTCCTTCTCGCTGTTGGGTTTGTGGCGCTGCTATTCCGTGCGGTGCTTCCCACCTTTTTTTTGTTTGCTTCTCCTGAGCGCCGCACCCACGCGGTGGGGTCTACACAGCGGCGGAGAATATGCCTACAGCAAGCAATAAAAAAAGCAACAAGGAAACAACAACAGCAACTGTGAAAACAAAGGCTCAAACAGGAACGCACACCCCACTCCCTCTTACTACTCCTCGTGCTCTCGGACTGCTCCTGGCCACACACAGACACACACACACACACATATATACAGAGAGACAGATCGTGTGATGTCTACTTCCCCCAGTCTTATTCTTTTCGTATTCAATCTACAAACAACGTTGCGAAGGCGCATCTAGGTTGTTCTCGTGAGCCGCGCATTCTCCGCGGAATTTCACTCAAAGCCGCCGCAGTTACAGCGTGGCACCGTTCAAGGAAAGCCACGTGACACCCGCATCCCGCACCTCCCTCGCCACCCGGGAAAAGAAGAGGTCCTCGTCGCAGGTCAACACCTCCGGCATCTCCGCGTCGTAGTAGAGCGAAGACTGCAGCCGCCACCAGGGGTCGGGGCGCATCTGTTGCAGCCTGTAGAGGGCCAGACGAAAACGCCGATGGTGCTCCTCCTCTAAACGCCACGCTGTTTCTGCGCCAGGATCTGTTGGGCGTGTAAAATCGCGTCTCTTCTCCGACGGGGAGGCGAAGCGCATCTCCAAGCGCTGCGCATTTTGCCCGCTGCAACTGCCAGCGCATCCCTCGCTCCCAACGGTGTCTTGTGTGTAGAACTCGTGTGCGAGCTGGCACGTGTTTGTAATGCTTGGCGTTGCAACCTTGCTATCTGTGGCCGTGCGTGGCGAGAAGAGCCTTGCAATGCCTTGCGCGCTATGGCCCTTGCTCGTGGCTTCCCGTCGAGCAGCCCAACCGAGGAGAGTTGGGGGCTGTGGGGGTTGCAAAATCACCCAGGGATCCGCAATCACCGCACAACTCCTCGAACCGGCCGCGCTGCTGGTGGTTGTCCCCATCACAGGGGAGGCCACACTGGACTCCCCCTCGATGCTCCTCACACGCTGCTGCGGCACGCCAACCCGCGCCGAAGGTGTCGCAGTGTCGTCCGCTTTTGGCCCATGCGGCGGCGGCCGTGCAGGGACGCAGCCTGGTGGCGCCCCGTTATTCGCCACACGCCCGGCTACCGCCCCGCGAGGGCGCGTTTGCTTTCGATTTTTTTTGGTCCCATCGCGGCTGCCGCTGGAACCCCCGGCGGCAGCGGCTTTGACCCCCCGCATGCTGCCGCTCCTTCACGGGCAGGGCGCCGCAGCCTGACGGGCGCCGAGGCGTGAACTTCGCCTGTGCCGGAACGCAGGCAGGAGGCCGCCAGGCCGATTCTTCACGGTGGCCACTATTGTACGGCCGCGCCCCAGCGTCTTTGCCCCGACAGAGGAAGCTGAAACAACAACAACAACAACAACAACAACAAAAACAAAAAATACACACACACACACACGCACACAAAAATACAAACATGCAAAGATACACAGTGCAGGAAGGCTGATCATGGGGCAGCACGGACAAGTTCAAGCCAGTGACTAGACAAGCGAGAAACCACCCTCACTCAGCACGACGAGCACGCCCTCCCTCCAAAGAACACGGAGGGGAGAGGAGCCGAAAGGTAACATGGATAGCGTATATGTGTGGGCAGCCGTGAGAATTAGAGCCACGTGGATGGCGAATTCCCCGCCCTACACAGAATGCAGGAATGAATGAACGCCATGGCGTATTCCATAAAATGTGTGGGAACGGCACAAGATGTGGCCTCTTCATTGCTGAGGCAAGTCACCCGCGCAGTCACCAGCACGTAGAAGCGTAATATCCGTAAAACCACAATAAAGGATGACATTAACGTAAGTCCACCAGCAATAAGGAGAGAAAAAAGATAATAATATCTACAAAAACAAAAAAAAAAGAGAAGAGAA